TACGTCTCTACATGTTATCTATAATCAGATGTTTGTATCCTCACTGCATACAGATCTCATTTTCTTTAAAGTCTCATGAAGTCTTAATAACCTTTCTGTTTGCATAAGATAAGATATACTTCTATTTCCCCCTAGGAAATATTGTTGTGCATCTTCTTTAAGTCACATTACGGCATCTAAAACGATGTAGGAAATGACTGTCAAAGAGAATAGAAGACGCTTCGCGTCGGGCCGAACCACGCCCCTTAGCTGTGATATAATGAGCATATACCACGGCCTGTCGTGAGCTATTGCTTAAGTGTATCTCGAGCCGGTTTCTCAAATTTACCTACCCCACCTTTAACATAGTGCCCTATCATTAAATGAGTGCCACAGCTTATAATTATCAGTCATTCTGTTTGCATAGAGAGTATGTACGGCACAGGAGAGAGGACGTAACGGAGAGAGGAATGAGAGGAATGTAATCTGCCCAGATTACTGCCACTTCCTGACATTGGCATTAAAGCATGATGAGTGCAGAGCAGGCGTGATCCCGTAATAAAAACTACAGCTTTTGTTCTTTCCACACACTGTTTTTACCTAAAGTATGCTTTGCATTTCATGTTGCATGCATTTTTCAGATTTTGAAATTAATTCCACAGATGCCGTTCAGTGCATATGGCGAGAGTTAGTTGTAACTACATGGACTTTTTTTAGTTACTTACCTGGTCCTTTGTGTGTGTGTGAGTGTCGATGTGTCGAGTTTCAATACTCTCTTGTCAATAGAGCCATTCATAGACAAAATGTGTGTGTGCAGTGTAATTACAGAATGAAACCAAGTGTGTGAGAGAGAGAGCACGCAAGACAAAACCTCTGTTCTGTTGCATTCAGACTGCTGGTTTGGTCTCCACAGACTGGACGTCAGATGTGTGTGTGAGAGTGTGTGTGTGTGTGAGATTAAAGATAGTGAGTGATGGGGATTTTAACAGTAGACAGTCTGTCTTTCTGTCGGCGGCTAAACAAAAGCTTCCTTGTTTGGTCTCACCTGACTTTGGCCGTCAGTGTGACACTGCTGTACTCTGTAGTACACACAGTATCCAGTATAACTAAAACTGCAATACTCCATTCCTAACCATCAGTTTTTAATGAACATTGTATCAAGTCTGGATTTGGATCTTAGTTAATGATGACTGAAAATGTTGATTTCTGTTCATAGGAGGCTTATGTCGTCCTCTAAAATATATATATATATATATATTGTCTTGTAAAAATAACGTTGCCGTGGAAAGTGTTTGTGTTGCTTTGAAGTTTCACGTGTCAGAAAGCCTGTAATGTTGGTGTGGGCGTGCTGTACCGGGAACAGATAGAAGATGAGAAGAAAACCTGGAAGTCCACATCAACAATGCTGCTACTTTACATTGTCTGGATGACACGTAATTATGTGGCAACCGACGCCTCGAGACTTCCTGTCACAAAAACCTTCATGTCTGATTTGAATATTTCCCTTTCCCGGTGTCCTCCCCTGAGATCATGAGTGTGTGTGTGGAATGTTTTTTATTGAGATGAATCATGTTTGTTTCATGACAACTGATGATAAGATATAAAGGAATGTGTGTTGTTGGCCATGAAGTACATATCACATACTTCTCATTACTGAGGTCTCACCTAATGAATCATCACAGCGACAACTGAGCTTCTCCATAGGCCAAGGAAGGCTGCAACATGAACGCTTTTTAAAATGCACAATAATTGGGTCTTGTGTGAAGAGTTGTTGTGTTTTGTCACACTTTTAGCTCATTTTATGGTATTTTTCGTTAAAGGATCTGTTCTTGGTTGTTCTGGTGACTGGTCGAATACAACAAGCTGACAGCATCACACTGATGTCCTGCTGCGTCATTTTTCTCTGAAGAAGTTCAAGCAGTGATTTCTTATCAGTCAGCTGTGTGTGTGTGTGTGTGTGTGTGTGTGTGCGCACTCAAGTCTGTAATGAGTTTCTGTCGTCAGCCAGCTGTTAAGGCCCCTCAATGAGTGACATTGGTTCTGCTGAAAGCACACACACACATGCACACACACATGCACACACACGCGCACACGCACACGCACAGGTGAACAGGTGACCTATGACATGTTTCCCTCTCTTAAGAACACATGGCTGCGTTTGCTCAAAAGCACTTCAGGGAGTAACCAGTGAAACGGGACGAATGGGACAGAGTGACGACAGAAAGAGAGAGAGAGAGAGAGTGAAGGGGATAATAAGGATAACTCCTGCTGGTGGGGGGGGGGGGGGGGCAGTATCTGTCTAGTTATGCAATCCCTCTCTTTTATTGTTCAATCCAGACCAAGTGTAGTAAATGAACAACCTTGGGTTCAGAATACGGCTGCAACTAACTATTATTTTCAGCGATTTATCTGCAGATAATGTTCTAGATTCATTGAATATTTGTCTGTAAAAAGTCATGCTGAAAGTGTTCATCCTGGTGATGTCTTTTAATGTCTTGTTTTGTCTTTTGAGACCTCTAAAACGTTCATTTTGATATAATACAAAACAGAGAAGCAGAAAATCTCCATATTTGAGTTTCCAACAAAGCATTTCCTACCATTATTGAAGGAAAAATAAATCTCCATTGTCAAAATAGTTACGTTTGCAGCTGTAGTGAAGACCTGACTTGACCTGACGACAGGAATGTGGGTGTGCTGCTTAGTGATTCAGTCGAATGCTCTGTAAATATGCACCAATGTGTGATAAGGTTATCAGTTTACTGTAAATGCACCACATGCTGAGTCTTTCTTATACAGAACACTGTCTCAAACTCTGATCTTAATGATAACTTATTAATAGCTGTTGTTTATTTTATGGACATCTCAAATATCAGTATGTATCATTATGGTATGAAAGTATTGTTTAGCCTTTTGTAGCCTATGGTGCTGGTTGGCCACTCCAAACGCTTGTGAATATTTGCAGTCAACAACAAAGGAAAGACCGACAGAGGTGTGTGTTTGTAGTGCTGTGTGTGTGCATGTGTTATATGCATTACTAAATACTGTACAGTGCCTTTTTAATGTTTTCAAATGTACTCCGAAGTTTGTCTCTTGAACCAGTCTTCAATAGCACGGTCAAAGCTGGATTGTACTACAGTTTATTTAATTTCACCTCCCCGTAGTGTCATTTTTGTTCTGCCAAGTGTGTGTGTAAGAGAAAAACAGAGACTGAGCTACCTTTTAGTAGCGCTGTGTGACCTTGACTGCTGTGTTGAACAGAGAGTGTTTATCTCTGCCAAATAGCTGAACATCAGATAGCAACTTAAACAGCAGATAAAATAGACTCATTAACCTGCTGTCCTGCACACTTTGAAGGAATGAGCTCAGGAGAAAGTCCCTGTCAGACAAAAGTGTTGGACAAATATATAATTGAAACAATTTCTTCAAAGTAAGCAGCACACATGCAATGGCAATTCATTTAATGCATTACATGAAATTACCCCGCTTGTTATTCAATAAATAAAGAATATTTTGTGTGTAAAGTTCAGAAAAGTAAATAAACACACACACGTCTATTTGCACATTGTTGCACTGTTGAAATTGGACCTGCTCTGCTTACAAAACTTCAAGGAACTGAAAGTGGATTAATTTCTTCATTTTACAAGGAACTTCACTTTTACTGGATTTATTTTTAGGATCACCATTGGAATAACACTGTTGCAGAAATAAAAGAGTATCACATGTTTGGTATGTTAGCCTTTCACTGCTCAACAATAGACATTTTAGTACAACTACAGTAGGGTGGCATTGAGATTAAAGCAGTCAGATATGCAGGGGAGGGGATTACAGAAGAGCAAGAATAGGGTAAAAAAAGAGTTTAAACAAGTGGGTAAAAAGCTTCCGACTCATAGATATTACAGTTAAACACTTCAGGAGATACCGTTGACCCTTGACATTTAACTTCCTGTCTGAATAACACACACATACCCCCCACACCATGGCAGCCACAGCACATCGCTCCCAGCTGCGTGTGAGTGCAGCTGATCCACCGCACTGCTGACACATGACTACCGTCTCACACACACTCACACACACTCACACACACTCAGTTCTGTTCAGATGTCTCAGGCTTTGCAGCAGACTCTAAACTGTAGAATGACAAGTTCCTAATCTTGTCAACGTGCTTCAAACTATGCACTTATCTCTTAAATATTCAATGTAATGTCAGAGAAACTATGAACATGTCAGTATGTGCCACATTTGGGGAACAACAAGTGTCTCATTACAGACGTCTCAGTTATGTGACTTGTCAAGACATGATTTAGAGATATCTCTGCGTACATGTTGCATAGTTTACATTCTGTCCTGTCTAAATGCAAGAGACCATTGCCACTGAATTGTCTAAAAAGACGGTTGTAATTTCAATTTAATTTAACTATGTTTTCCTAGGGGCTTTTTTTTTTTATTAATGAAGATTTACGTTTAAGTTAAAACTGAAGATATGACTTCAAAGAAGGTCGGCTTTTTGATAAATTACACACACACACACACACACACACACACACACACACACACACACACACACACACACACACACACACACACACACACACACACACATAGAGAACCTCTTTATGTGTTTCTGATGTATTGAAGTAACTGACTGATGGATTGCAGTAATGTGATGAATGATCGATAGTGTTGAGACAAGTGAATGTGATGTTCCTGTCAGCTGATTTAACATGACTGTAAATGTGAAACACCCAGTGCACAGAGACTGACCTCAGTTTGAGCGACAATAAAGCAATAACTGTAGCAGGACCACATAAAGTCCTCAAGTTTCTTTATTTAGCTGCAAAACACCATGAAGAACTGTTATGTATTTTATTCCTGTGCAATGAACAAGGGAGATGAAATGGAAGTGAAGTTGGATGAAACCATCTCAAGAACAATCCGTTGTCTCTTTGTGTAATCGATGATATTTAGTATGTAAGGAATATGTACGCTTGATTCAATCTAAAACTGTATTTGATTTATTTCAGAAAACTATCCCGTGAGCGGCTCTGATGGAAAGACGGAGTCTGTGGCGGACCTCCAGCCGCAGCCCTCGCTCACCTCGGTTCACTCCAGCTCTCCGGGTCCCAAACGCTCCGGAAACACTCTGAGGAAGTGGCTCACCAGCCCGGTGCGCCGCCTCAGCCACGGCAGCTCCGTCAAGAAACTGCCCAACAACAAACAGAAGAAAACTGGTAAGACAAAACCACATAACTCTTGAGTATAACATATTTCTGAGAAGTTAAAGGTCACCTATTGTGCAAAATCCACTTCTTCATGTCTCTTCTACATCAACATGTGTCCCCTCTGTGTAAAGAGATTCTGAAAGTTTCAGGAACAAAGATTCTCTCTCTTTTTGTCCTGATCCATTTATATAAAAACCTGTCTGAAAATGAGCTGATCAGATTTTGACCACTTTATGATTTGTTGGCTTGTGTAACCATTAGCCAATCACCAACCAAGGTAACCCCCGCCCACCTTATCACCTGAATCTCCTAGAGCATTATTTTCATCTAAAGTAACAGACAGAGAATCAGCACTTTTGAAACAGGGCTGAAACAGAGGGGATTATGGGATGCTGCAATGATCTGTTTGGTGTTTGGAGCCAAACACTTCAGAGACATGTTTTGTATATATCTGAGACCTATAATATATTGATGAAAAACAATATAATAGGGGACCTTTAAATACATCTGTAGAAATGTTTTTTGCAAGCGCTGAATATTGAGTCGTCACTGGGCCGAAATACAGTGAATTCAGCCGTAAACTGCAACATTTCAAAGCATACCATAAATTCTTCTTTCAGTTGTTTTTCCCTTCCATGTAGCTTTCGGTTTAAATGTATTTTAGCACACTGCAACAAGTAGTCTGCGAATACTGTTGCAAGTAGAGGTCCTCTAAAAAATCCTGCTTTGTTGTTCAGTATTTGGATTTGTAACACAGCATTGTATTAATGTTAAAAAGCATGATATTATTGGCTGACCATGAATTTTCAACATCAGTTTTGGGGGAAATACCCCAACAGGAAAAGTCTGTTTAAAAGACCCTGCTCTGATTGTTGTAGCGTTGAATACATGTTCACAAACAAATGGCTCCTCCTCCTGTCACCATGTGGCAATAACACAACATTGTAACTGAGGGTTAAATAAAATAGATTACCCATTTCTAGTGTCAACAGGACTTTGGAGAGATGTTAAATAATGTGTTGCTAGATCTACCATTATGGTTCCTTTAATGTCTTTCTAGCATTATAAGTCATTAATACTATACAAGCTGTTTAAAACCTCCTTGATTTCTTGAATCCTCAATTGTGAAAATATTTTACATTTGGACTGAATGTGTGTGAGTAATGAACTGTTTGATTGACAGGAACAGGAAGAGAGGAGAGCAGGAAGAGCATCGACCTGGGACCCCCCCTGCAGGACGACATCATCGACGAGGTGAGCAGGAGATCCAACAAAAGAGTCTTTGATCTGCTGTGGTCTGAAGTGTGGTGTTTCACAAACCTGCTGACATTTCATAGCTTAAAGGAAGACTTCAACCACAAATGAACTTGTATACCAATGACCTACATTGCATTACATTGCATTACATTGCATTACATTACATTACATTGCATTACATTGCATTACATTGCATTACATTACATTGCATTACATTGCATTACATTGCATTACATTGCATTACATTGCATTGCATTACATTGCATTGCATTACATTGCATTACATTGCATTACATTGCATTACATTGCATTACATTGCATTACATTGCATTGCATTGCATTACATTACATTGCATTGCATTACATTGCATTACATTGCATTACATTACATTACATTACATTACATGTTACTTATTAGAAGCTTTTATCCAAAGCGACTTACATACTCAATACTGTGGGCAATCCCCACAGGAGCAATTTGGGGTGAAGTGTCTTGCCCAGGGACACAACGACATGCTGACTGCAGTGGGACTCAAGCTTGCTATCCTCTGATTCGAAGATCAGCGCACTACCCACTGCGCCACACGCAGAACTCTTGCATGTTTACATATAAAAGGAAGATTACAAAATGGAGGGAAGTCTTGATAATTGGAAATAAATGGGAGACGCAATTAACAGAACAAATATATCAAAACATCCTTTTATTCACATTCATCCAGTTGTATGCTCTATACTCCATGAGCACATGCATTTTCACTTTTACCATATTTTTTAAAGTACTTTGAACTAGCTCCGATAATTAGCACGCATGAAACACTAGATTCATTAAAATGATAAAACATTTGATTTCAAACGGCCTGTTGCGCGAATCTTTAGGTTCATATTTATATTTTGTGGCTCTACTGCGAAACAGGAAAGGGAAAACCCAAACAAGCATTTTAGGGCCCCTTTAAAGTAGGCCCTTACCTTATTTCTGTTTGTTTTGCAGCACTGTGAAAAGTTATCACGCCTTAAATGATCCTTGTTGCATTTCTGATGCTGTTAAAGGGTTTTCGTAGACTCAGCAGGAAGAAAGGTTCATACGGTCATTTATAATCCGATATAAAACGCCTGATTAGATACAGTATGCTTTATATTGGGCCTCTGATCTACCGAAAAAAGATATGTGTTATCAAACCCTGCTTTATGTTTGGTTATCTGTTCCAGTCTATTAGGTATTTAGTTAAAAGATAACCTAACTGCTCCTTGCGGCCTTAGAGAACCTGTCAGGGAGGTATACAAAGATATTTATGCATCTACGTAATAGACCGTAAACAGCCAAGGTTCCTCTTTCTGTGTGTGATGGCTTTCTACTCCCACACACAGACACATTAATGACCAAACTCCAGAATGACTCCCTGATTCCTGACAATACAAAACCTCAGGGATCCGACTTCTTTGAATATTATTTGTCATACAACTCTTGATGTTGTAATGTTAAAACCCTTTAGAATAAATCATGTTGATGTCCATATGCTCTCCCACTTTATTAATAACTTAGCAATCATTTTTGAAAACTCTTAAAAATCATAAACGTATGAAACATGTCAGTTGCTGTTTTCCTTACTTCTGGATGAGCTTTTTGGCGGACAGCAATGATATTTGAGAATGATGTAAACGCATTGTTAAACCAATTATTGCACGTAACTAAAACTTAAAAGCAACAGAAGTATAAAAGATAATAAGTCATTTTGGAGAACTTGTAAAAACAGATTAATTTGGAGAAAGGTGTTTTTCGTATGCGCCACATTAGAGAGAGCGTTACAAACACAGGAAATGACTCTTCTTCACACAATACCCCTTTGCATTGTTCAATGAGAAAATGCAGCCTGAACATTTGGATGCATTTAACAAAGTCTCACAACGATAACTGATGTGTGATGATAAATAATGTGATCATGAAAGTGTGTTTGATAACGAGGGGGTACAAAATGGTTTCTTATTTCTAACGGACTCTGGATTTATGTTTGCGTCCCTCAGAGACGCCGCGGTAACAACGCTAACATCCTCTCCAAGTCTGGGATGCAGAGCGGCGGGGAAGAGGAGCAGGACGAGGAGCCGCACACCGACCTGCCCCCCCGCATGGAGATCATCAAGGACCAGGAGGACAAGGTGAGAGAAGATGGGGTTCACATCACTAAATAAATGCTTTATCCGACCAGTTAAAAACAACTTCTACTCTCAAATCTGTCAAACCTTTGTACTGAGAAACTTTGATGTTATCATGATGTCATTCAGTTCATTCTTTGATTTATTTGATTTTCATTAAGTTTTTATCAGGGGTTTTTTTATTTAAAGGGGACCTATCATGCAAAATGCACTTTTGTACGTATTTTATACATGAATATGTGTCCCCGGTGTTCCAGGGAACTCACCAAGTGTCAGAAAACACAACCCTCTCTATTTTCCTCCATACCCAAATCTCTAAAAAAGGGGCTGCAACGGATCTGATCAAAACTGATCCCGATTCTAACACTGTCCTGACGTCAGGACGGTGGCGCTACGGCTATTGGGCCAACTCCACCAATCAGGAGGAGACAGCCACGGCCATTGCCGTTCGAAAGCGCTGGAGACGCTGTAGTACATATGCCAGGCCTGTAGGTGGTGCTGTTCTCACAGAATCAGCCCTTGCAAAAACAGAGCTAAAAAAGTGCAAATTGAGCGAAATGAGGCATGGCTAAAATGCATGATCTGTTTGGTATTTTGAAAAAATAAAAGTATAAATATGCCTTATATAGGTATGGTCCTACACTATATTATTCAAATATAGCATGATAGGTCCACTTTAATGAAAATATTTTCAGGTTTTTTTCATTTTTATTATAGAATATCAAATTTGTGGGTGTAGTTTTCTGTTGTTTTTCTTACCCTTTACTCTTTTACTCATCAATGCTGTCGTATTTTTTAAAGAAAGAAAAATAGTTAATACAAATAAGGTTTATTTGAGCAAAGCTTGTCCTTCTCTCAGGCTTGGTATAAACCGTGCAGTGTTTCCACCTGCTGCTCTCCTCTGCTAACTAACAGCTGTTCTCTCTTTAACTCTATTTCTCCTTGCATGAACTCTACATCCTTTGTTCCACTTCCTGCGTTCTCTCCTTCACTTCCAATCTTCCTAACATGCTCTTGGTTTTGATCCTCCTCTTCCTCTCAGTCTTCCTCCTTGCTAACATCTCTTCAGTCGTCCTCTGACGTGCCCAGCGCTGCAGAGCTGGTTAGCGCCATAGAAAAACTGGTTAAAACCAAGATGGTGAGTGTGTGCGATTAAGTGCATGAATGGGTCCTACACATGTACAGAATAAGAAATAGGTGGCCTGTTATAAATGAGCATAAACCAAAAACACAATCTGCAGACCAGTCTTAAAGACCGAAGGGAACACAAGCTGCTGTCTTCATGAAGCTAACACATCCTGCTGTCTTCGTGAAGCTAACACATCATGTATGGATCTGTTCTTTTCAACAAATTAACACAATACTGAATTTGTGTATTAACAAAAATCATGCATGAACAATGTACTGTACTTGTGTGTTGTACTTTATTGTCTCTATGTTGGTGAGATATAGTTGGTGTTCATAGTTTGTGTTATTAGCTTGAATGTGTCTGTGTTTATATCTATGAATACATGCATAACATTTTGAACAAAAGTCATGCAAAGGCCACATCTGGAACGTTTACAGGGGGAGTTGGGGAACGATATATTCACTGTTCTCCTGGTTTATATTGTATGAAACACATTTCTGACCAGCGCAGATAATGTTCAAGTCGCTCCATTCCTCCAGAGAAATAAATCCAATCTGAATGGTGGTTAAGTGACATTTCTTTGTATTTGATAAGAAATTGAAGATTAGACTCTTACTGGACAAAACACCACACATTAGAGGAAGAAATGCCATTTTTTTAATAAGAGCTGAAGCGGTTTCTATGGCATATCATTTGCCAACATAGTGTCTTATCCACTTGAGTATAACGTGTTCTTTGATTTGTTTTAATATTGTTTTTGGGCCACCATTGCCTTTTAATGTAGAGACTGAGTTTAGACTTGAAAGGGAAATTGGTCCCAGGATGGACTCTACTGTTTGAAATATTGCCCTTCAATCCGCTGCCGTGTTTTCAGGCCAGGTGGAGAAATCACTCTCCCGCTCAAAAAAACAGTTGCTGGGATTTGTTGCTGATTTGGAATCTTGTATTTCCACACCGACGTTGATGTAATTATGAAAAGCAGAGGTGGTAGTTTTCACAATCAACACGAGTGGTTACTCTCAGCCGCTAAAGACCAAGCTCCTGCTGCCCTCTGCTGTCATGAATCCATCTCACTATCCTGATGGTGGTTCACACTTAGAGATTGTCCTCATTGAGCACCCAAGGTTTGAGGTCCTTTCGTGTTTATATTGTTGAGTCCCTATGTGATGAAATAGATTTGATGGAGGGCATGTCGTTGCTCTCCTGAATCTATAACAAATAACTGTGAAAAGGGAAAAGGTTAATCTCTAAACGCTGATCTCCTCTTCCTCTCTCCAGACTCTGGATAAAGGAACGTACCCCGACTTCCCGTCTCTGTCTCCACCGGAGCAAACCACTCCAGTGCAGCCGCGAAACCCTGAGCTGGAGCAGAGAGCCAAAGCTATGAGAGGACGGATGTGAGTACTGCAGAATATCATCTCTACTGCCACTATAACTGCTTCTAATTCAACAACTACTACATGTTTACCCACAACAACCAGTGCAGACAGTAGTCCTTTTTGACAGTGAAAACATTTCCTCAGGATGTTTACAGTGAATTGTTTTGTTCTGACCAGGTTTGTCCTTAACGAGCTGATCCAGACGGAGAAGGACTACGTCAAGGACCTGGGCATCGTGGTGGAGGTGAGACAACAACACATACACACCTTTGTGATTCAGAATATTGTGATTCAGAATATCCTGCCACCCCCTATCAGCATGACCCTTACGATAAAGTCAATGGTATCCCTTCAAGTAGCTTTCTTTATGGTCACATAACAGCAGCTCTACCAATTTAAATACTGACATAATGCACTTTCTTTTAGTAAATTGTCATTTTCATATTCTCATGTTTTTGTAAATTTGTTAGTTTATAATAGTTTTTAAAATAGTAATATTTTTGTTTCGTTAATTCCTGTTATTTTATTTATGTATGCAGAATATACACCAAAGCAAATTAATTGTGTCTCTTAAACTACAGTACTACTGCTTAAAATCCTGATTCAGATTTTAAAACTCTTAACTCAAATTTGCGAAATGATAATGACCGCAGAACCCCTGAAATATGTATCTTTGGTATAGCGTGAAGTGTTCGTCTTTGCTCTGATGTTTGAGGAGAATTAAGTGTCTCCTCTCAACATGTTGACCTTCTGTCCCCCTGCAGGGCTTCATGAAGAGGATCGAGGAGAAGGGCATCCCCGACGACATGAAAGGAAAAGACAAAATCGTCTTCGGGAACATCCACCAGATCTACGACTGGCACAGAGAGTAGGTTCAGCGTCGGTGTTCAAAACCTGGCACTGGACCCAGATCGGGGTCGTCGGTCCTGTTTGTGTTTGATCACTAATATCCCCTCTTCTGTTTCCTGTCAGCTTCTTCGTCGGAGAGCTGGATAAATGTTTAGACGACCATGAGCTCCTTCCTGAGCTCTTCATCAAACATGTGAGTGGAACACTGTGGTGGTGATGATGAAGATGATGACTTTGTAATATTAAAATGAACTGTGTGATCTGCTGTCTGAAAACTGTGTGTGTTTCTGTGTGTTACAGGAGAGAAGGCTCCACATGTACGTGATTTATTGTCAGAATAAGCCGAAGTCAGAGTTCATCGTGGCAGAATACGATACATTCTTCGAGGTAAGTGATGTTTTGACTCTTTGTGTTACTTAAGTACTGTTTTTTTAGTAAAACAAGGAAAAATCTCCAATAAATTCATCAAAATCTCCTTTGAGACTTCCACCTGCTCTATTCTATTCTGTATTAGGATCCCCATTAGCACTACCATGGCTATTATCTTATTATGTTTATATTATCTTGCATATTTTATATTTAACAGACTACATTAATAAAGCAAAACATGTTAGAGGGCAAATAGAGGATAAAGAAACCTTCTGATGTTGTTGGTGTTTGTCTTGCAGGGACTCCAGCAGGACGTCCAGACCAGGTTGTCCATGAGTGACTTCCTCATCAAACCAATCCAGAGAATCACCAAATACCAGCTGCTACTGAAGGTAACACACACACACACAATTAACCTTAGCTTAATTTATTTAGTTACCAAAAGAGATTTATTTTTTTAAATAACTAGCGCTGTGAAATTAAGCCATTTGTGTTTTATTTGTCTTGAGTCTGTAAGAGGCCACTCATTTAAGGGAGATAATTGCCTGTGTGACATTTAGGGCGCAGTGATGTATTGTGTAGTGAACTGAATGTACAGAGTGTTAAACATGTGGTCATGTTTCTCCTCAGGACTTCCAGAAGTACAGCAGCAAGGCAGGCATTGACTGTGAACAAATCGAGGTAAAAACACCTCATTTAAAGTGCCTGAATATCAAAGTTCACACAATCACATCACAGGATTTGTACCCGCTTTTACTTCCTTGCCTGAATCCATAACCTTTAGATGTTTTATTGATATCAATGTATGTCTCTTAAAGCTCCAATTCATTGTCCATCCTAAGAGAAGAAAAACAGCTGAAATGAACTCCTAAACAATGATTGAAATCCCTCTCTTACAGAAAGCAGTAGATTTGATGTCTCAGGTCCCTAAACTGTGTAATGACATGATGAATCTGGGTCGTCTGCAGGGATACGAGGTATGTTCACTTCCTGTTTTAATAACAAGTCTGCACTCTGCACAATGACCAGTGAGAAATGAATTAAATATGTTGACTAATCCATTTCCTCTTCAGGGTAAACTGACCAGTCAGGGCAAGCTGCTCCAGCAGGAAACCTTCTTCGTCACAGAGCAGGACTCCGGCGTCCTGTCGCGCTCCAAAGAGAGACGAGTTTTCCTTTTCGAGCAAATCGTCATCTTCAGTGAGCTGCTCAGGAAAGGGTCGTCCACGCCCGGATACCAGTTCAAGAAGAGCATAAAAGTACGCACAGAATGGGGGTCTTTTTCTGGGGGGTAACATTAAGAAGGCAATTTCAATGAGTAGCTCAACATTAAACTACGTTATGAGTCAGAAAACTACATGAACAGTTCCCTTTATTTTGCTATCTATTCATCATGCTCCCATTTTATAGTGTTAGTTTCCCTTTCCTAAAAAAATCATGAGATGTTGTCCACTTGTGTGTCAGGGTTCAAATGGATGTTTAGAATTTTTTTAATTAAAAGATACATGTGTGATACAAATAATGACACTGATAATGCTTTCTTCCCCCCCCCCCTCCTCAGATATCCTTCCTGGGTCTGGAGGACAGCAGCGATAACGATCAATGTAAGTTCGTCCTGACGTGTCGCGGCTCGTCGGAGCGTTTCACCCTGCAGGCCGCCAACGTGGACATCAAACAGATCTGGGTCCGACACATCCAGGACGTCCTGGATGCTCAGAACAACTTCCTGTCTGGTGAGAGAACACACAAACACCTAAACTATACTCTGAAGCATTGTGTATTTGGTCAACACCTTACTAGGTTCAAGGTTCAAGGTTAATTATTTGTATAGCACATTTTAAGACACAGAAGCAATTAAAAGTGCTTCACATAGGCATGTAACACATAATAACTCAAAACAAAACAAACACAAAAAATACAATTCATAAAAGCGATAAAATAAAGGTTGCAGCTAAAAGTGCAATGACAAGGCGCTCTGTTACTAGATGCAAAGGACATACTGCCAATGATACATACATTCAAATTATGACATTTTGTTTATTTTGGATGTTGAGTTTCCTGATTGCACCCTTAGATGCACGAGTGACTGGACCCTACACTCTTCCATAAGTGGGTCTAAAAGGACCCGTATTAGAATAATATGTGTTTTTATGCAATTTCTGTCATTTTGGTTAAGACAAATCTCTTGTATAATATTTAGTATTATATTTTGGTTCACACTAGAAATATTTTATATTTAATTTTTCACTATTTATAATTTTAGAAATTTCTTTTACATTTTGAAAAAAAACTTTTTCCCATAGGATTCCATAGAAAATGCATGCGGGTCAGTTTTGACCCACTTATGGAAGCTTGGGGTACTAATACAAAAACTACAATTTCTTAAAATTTAAATAAAAAATGTGAATGGCATGATATCCAAAACATGTTTTTTGAGGAATAGCTGGAATATGAAATGATACATTTTTTTAATTACAAAGATACTTCAAGAAAACCACCTCACCGGGTCCAAAAAGACCCACTTATGGAAGCTTGGGGTAGTAATACAAAAACTACAATTTCTTAAAATGTATAAAATGTACATTTAAAATTAGAATGGCATGATATCCAAAACATGTTTTTTGAGGAATAGCTGGAATATGAAATGATAAAAAAATGTAATTACAAAAGATACTTCAAGAAAACCACCTCACCGGGTCAAAAAAGACCCACTTATGCATCTAAGGGATACTTAAAACATGTTTTAACATTTGGAGAGTCAGAGAAGCTGACACCAAGAGGAGGAATATACTGTAATGCTTCATTTCGGTGTGATTGTAGCCCTCCAGTCTCCCATTGAGTACCAAAAGGAGAAGGGCGGAGCGGGCAGCAGCGCCTCGCTGACCAGGAACCGCTCTGGCTCGGGGAACCGTTCTTCTTCTGCAGCTTCGTCTCAAAGCCGCCCGTCATCAGCCGTCGGCCTCGGAGACAAGGAGCCGGAGAGAGGGAGGCCCGTGATGAAAGTGTCCACCTCCAACGGCGGATCCACGTGTTTCGAGTCCAGGGTGAGTTCCTGCAAACAGCCTGGACACACATGAGGGGAGGGATGGTGACTCTCTATTTGTTCTGGTTTCTTAGTTTAGTTTGTTGTTTTTGTCTGGATTATTTTTCATTTTATTAGCAATTGTCAGTGTCTTGATTGGAAAAGCACAGCTCTTCACAGTTTTGCACGCATTACAATTTGTACATTTCCCAGCTGCAGGACTAATTAAGGGATTCTGATACTATCCACTTTATACTGCATTAGACTCCATGGGAACTAGAGCATGAAGCACACTTGTTTCCCCTTCACACTGTCTGTTCAGCTTCCTGTTCCCTAAAAGCCAAGGTTAAAATCTGGGCTACTGCAGGTGTAGCAGCATACTGTGTGAGTTTATATATATACACACACACACACCAGGCTGTTCTCTTTCTGGCCTACTTTGTCTATAAATCCTCTTGCTGTCTGCAGGAGGCTGGACAGCTCTGCTCACTCTGTGATTTACTGCCAGGCTCTACATGGAAGCACCTTGACCCTCTTAAAGGGAGAAACTGAGACTGTCCTAAGAACAAGACTTAAGATTTGTATAGAGAGGCGAAGTCCCTCCCCTTCCGGTGGGACTCATGGGACCTTATTTCGGAAAAAGTTTGTATTGAAGTCAATGGAGAGAGAAAGATTATCTTTCGATCCCGTTTGAATTGTGCCACGAATTACACATATGATGTTTGTCAATCTTAAATAATAATTTCCATGTCAAAAAAGTCACAGTTTGTCGTAAAACTGTTGAAATATAAGACTATGAAAAATAGAACTAGAAAGACTACAAATCCCAGAACCCCGGTCCCGCATGCTGGCTCTTAGGAACCGACTAACCCCCCTTGTGTGTATGTACAGCTCTCAACATGCCCAGACTTGTAGTGATTTTCACTTCTTTTAATACTTTTCACCTCATTCTGAAAGAAAGAAGTGAAATGTGCCAACGTGACGGCCGTCTTGGTGCGAGACGGGAGATGTAGTTCATTGAGCGGTTTCACACAAAAAAAGTGTTACTTCACAGTTTTACGACACATTTTTATTTTTTTACTTGTAAAATTATCTTTTAAATTGACAAACATCATATGTGTAATTCGTGGCACAATTCAAATGGGATCGAAAGATAATCTTTCTCTCTCCATTGACTTCAATACATACTTTTTCCGAAATAAGGTCCCATGGAGCTCAACCGGAAGGGGAGGGACTTCGCCTCTCTATATGATAAGTTGAAATGAAACTGAAGTAAAACAGAACAAATTTGATAAGGCACACCTTGTGGCTCCTAACTGCGAAATAACGTAATTCAATAATAAAAATGTGCGTTCAAATTCAATTTACAAAATCTGTTAAGCTCCGTAAATCTTTCCTACACTTTTCTCTAAAATAATGAGGGTTTTTTTCTTACATCAAAGCTCTGATTGGCCAGAAACAATGAACATCAGACCTATTGGAACATCTACAAAAAAAGAAATGACATAAAAAACGTAAACATAGATAAATAGAGGTTTTACTGTACTGGAACCAATAAGTGTCCGCTTAAGTTAAGATGTTTTGGTTTTGCTTTGAGCACCATTGTACTGGGTAGAAGCAGGAAACTCATCAGCATAGAGGTGATCAGCTGATTAGACTGTACATTTAGTAACTTCTGTGTAAAAGAGAGCCTGAACAGAAAGCTGATGCTCTGTTGTTCTCCTGCTCCTCCCCCTGGGTCCTGACTCTCCTCTGCTTCGCCTCAGATTTGGATCATTATGACTGTTATCCAAACCACACAGACTCACCTTGTCCTACATGTCTCCTCATCCTCTCTTCGTCTGTCATTTCTCTCCTCTGGTCTCCTCTGTGTTTTTTTCTCCTCTCTTCTCTCTCTTGGCCATCCTCTCATCTCCTCCCCAGGACCTCGAAGGCTGTAACGGCGTCTCCTCCACCATGTTGGTTTCTCAGGACTACTCGGCGCTCAAGGAGAACGAGATCTGCGTCAGTCAGGGAGAGACCGTCCAGATCCTGGCCACCAATCAGCAGAACATGTACCTTGTTTACCGGCAGGCCAACAGCCAATCACCTGCCGCAGAGGGCTGGGTGCCGGGACGCATCCTGGTCCCGCTCACTAAGTCCATTAAAGACTCTTCTTCTACTTCCTCCTTTCCGACGTCGGTGGCCGATGCCAGCAACATCAAGTAAGTGACAGACAGACGCACTTCCTGTTGGGCTCCGAACCAAGCACTCGGATTGGATGAAACTCTTTTCTCCCCATTTTCGTTTTGTTTTTTGAGTCAGCTCCCCGTCCCCAGGTCCTAACTACTCACTGCCTCCGCCCTCACCTCCTAACTCCTCCCTCCCTCATATCCTCTTGGACCTCACAGGAGACTTTTTTTTTGTGTTGTATTTTAACTCCTGACTTGTCTTGTTGTTCCTCGGAGGTAAAAGGTACACGACTGTTCTCTTACTGCTGCGGTGACAGTTTTATTTCTGAGCCATTGTCACTTGACAGCTCTGTGGCAACTACATGAAAATGGATTTAAGGCTTGCAACCGAACTAAAACACTCACACACACACTGATCATTTTCCATGAGGATTTATCCCACAGTGATAGACTGGATAGGAAATCTTGTAAGTTGTAGCTGACTCTGGAAACCAGAGAGAGAACAATCATGTGGAGCTAAACCGGACTCTTATTTCAGTTCCTAACACCCTGTTTATCATTTTCTTTTTGTATATTTTTCTTCTTTTTACTGTTTTTGGAAAAAGAAAAACTCACCTGGGGCATTCAGGTGGCCTCAGCCCTATTCTCCGCAGTGGAGAATATTTATTTTGTTGTCTGTGGCAATCTATACACAATTTTGTGTTTATTCCTCTTGTTGTTTTTCTGCCTTGTTAATTATTATTTTATTTTACGGACAAAGTTGGATTTTGTTCCCTCCTTCTTGTTGATTTTGTTTATGTCGGCAGTTCACTGTACAAAGCTGATTTTGTTTTTTTTCGACTGAGGCTCTAGAACATTCCTGTTTAAAAAAAGAAAAATCCCTTTTGCACTATTTAAGATGAGAAAAAATATGAAGTCAGGCTGTGCAATATGTTGCGTTTAATGGCAACGGTCAGCATTGTACTGTTGGTAGTCTATAATAATGATTTTAAATGTATTTTAAATATGTAAAATAAACCTTTTGGACTTGAGCATGAGTTAGCAAAGCGACGTGAAGGTGAAGTTGTTTTGTTCTGCGTTAGGCTGAAGATGATTGTAGTTTTTAATATTTGTAAATAAACTACATAACAGCAAATGATGAACTGAGCGGTCTGCCTGCTTCTGTCTGTGTGAACCATTAGGTGCAGTTCCTCTGTTCAAGACCAAAGACAAAACTACTTAGGAATGAAGTGTTAATGGTTTTGACTTTACTTCTATTAAGGTTATTTAAATCAAATTATTCTCTACAGAAAATTAGACCGAAGGTGAGCAAAGGATTGTATTTCTTCATAATATATGACCAGAGATTGTAACACTGAGCATCAGGTAAACACCTACTGTCTGCACCTTTTCCCTGTTTCATTTCAGCTTTTTGTATTCGTTGTTTATTGTGGTGACATTTATTTTTACGTTTTTTGTTTAAGTTTTTACTAACAATAACGGTCTGGCACTCCACAGAAGATACAATGTTGAAATATATAACCCAGAAGTTTTAAAATGGCAAAAAATACAGACGGAAAAACGGCTGCTTTTACATTTGATAATAGTATTGAAAAATAAAATAACATTTATGTATAATGTTGTTTTAAACTTAAGACTGACCAGGTGTTCTTGAAAGTGTTCAACTTTGACTTGACTTTATATTTCAACACACTAAAGATAACGCTTCCAGGTTTATCTACCAAACAGACAAAGTGGATAAGAGGTGGCTAATTGCATATTACAAAAGTAGAAAAAGTAGATTCATTGAGAAACTGCTTTTTTCAAATACATTATCAGAAATAAATGTATGTTGGCCACCATGTCCGTCACTGCTCACGTAGAACAGTATGTTAACTCAAACTAAAATGATTTATTCCAAATACTACAGGACACACAAACGCAGATGGGATTTGTGAAAATGTTAACATGTTAAAGTGTTTTTTTTTGGCTGTGTTGGAGGAAGCTTCAGTATGTCCGTCTTTCTCTCACGTCTCTCCGCTGCTCTCTCCTCCAGTCTAACTTCATTTCTCTCTCAATAAAAAAAGACCAGTGTCCTTCTGTCCTTCTTCTTCTGTTTCTAACTGGACCAGAAGAGTCTGGCTGCAGATTCAGGCGACAGTGACCCTGTCTGGACCCTCTGCTGCAACTACACTACACACACTTGGATTGTACACACACAGTTACACATACAAGCAGTAGAATAAACTATAGTGACAAAAACGATATATATTTGCATTTGAATGCATCATAGAGGATGTACAAGAGACAATAATACGTTTGTTCTCTGCCTCTTAATGGTGCTTTCCCTCAGCTTGGATCTTTTTCACTCCCAACCAGATTCATCATCATTCACTATTCTTATTTTGATCAAAGCCCATATCTGCCTCTTCCATTAATAATCTCAGTATTATAAGAAAGGTTATTGTAAAAATAACATGGAATGAATAAAACAGAGGGTTATTAAGCAGTTGACACTAAATCCTACACACTGTACCTTTTTTATTATAAAAAAAATGAAATGTTCTTTACTTTGCAACCAAAATAAGCTTTAAATATTCAAACTAGGACCCCAAAGCACATTTGAGAACACACTGCAATCAAGAGTCTTTCACTTACATGTTCGTTTGTCAAACCTAGTTGTAACTTGTTAAAAAAAGTTGAGAAGTGTAAGAGAACATAAATGACACTTAGTGACACTTAGCCCCTTGACCTCCACAGAGGGTTCAGAGACAGCCCTGTTGCCTCGGCAGCCAGACTCAACTGGACCCCTCTTCTCTCTGATTGGCTGGTTGATGTTTCTCGTTCCTGTACCGTACAGGAAGTCTCTGTCGTGGAACACACTGCGCGCCAGGAAGCGTGCCGAAGCAAAGGACGGCTCTTTTGTGGGGGTCAGAGGTCAGGAGAACGGCCTCCTCCGTAAGCCCAAAGAAACCACCCCACCTCCCACGCTCGCCTCCCCCGCCACCAGGGCGAAGGGCAAAGTGAGTAAAGCAGGCCGACGGCGCACGCTGGTGATGTCATATGTGTGTGCCGAAACCCCTCACCTGCCCCACTTTGTTTTTATTTTTCTTAACCTTGCGCATGTGTGTGTGCAGACCCACAAAGTACTTGCTGTGTTTTTATTTGACTCCACAGTAGTTTTCAACCTGCAGAGGACACAAATGTAGACTTCAATTCACTATATAGATTTTGAACGGCTTAAAGCACTGTGATTGGCCGGTCAAATTACCACCAAAGTTGCAGGGCTCATTTAAATGAATGAGCCACTTTGGCTATGAAGCTAGCCAATAGAAGCTTTACAAATATCACAATCAAGATTTTTCGGGCAGATTAAAAGTGTTGCCGTAAAGCAGGGGTGTCAAACTCAAGGCCCGGGGGCCAAATCCGGCCCACGACTTCATGTGGCCCCACAAGAGCTTGCAAAGAATGTAATATGTTTATTATACGGTTACATGATGATTTACAGAAGCACGTTGCCCATAAACGACATGTCCCACAATGCATCTCAAATTTGACTTTTTCTCTGAATTTGACTTTTTGTCTTAGAATTAGCCTTTTTCTCATTAATAGATTTGTTTTTCAAGATGTCACTTCTCTATTTCAAAAATGTCCCTTCTTAATTTTTGTTTTTCCAGAATGTGGCTTTTCTTTTAAAATCATATTGTGACATTCTTACTGAAGAGACTATCAATTATTTGCCCCAGACTTCTGCTTTCAGACGTAGTTAATTATGAAGTTATTACCCTATCCGATAATAATCCAATGCAGAGGCAGTAATGTAATATAATACATTATTTGATATGTATTCAATATTTATATATGTCTTTTTATATAGTCTTAAAGTTACAACCGGCCCTTTGAGTGCAACCATAATGCTGATGTGGCCCGTGATGAAATTGAGTTTGACACCCCTGCCTTAAAGTAACAAAATAAGCATTGTGGATTTAGTTACCTGTAATAAATAATACATAATTCCAGGGCAACGTTTTGCATTAATTCGTCATTAATGCCAGTGTGAACTAAAGGTAAGAGTTGAAAAGGAAAGTTCAAACTTCAACATGTGGGTAAATATGACATTTTAAAATCTAAGATTGTTGAGAACCCTTAAAGAAGAACACTGCAAGTTTGTTTCAACATTTTTATTTTACCCCAAACCCTCAAATGCACTGATTTGAAATAAAATCTGATTTATTTTTGTGTTTTGTGTTGTGATTTATTTCTCCCTCCTTGTGCATGGATAGAGGTAGACTTTACTGACTTATTGATTTATTTGTTTTTACTCAGCTGTGCTAACAAGTGTTTTCTGTAGTGGACTAACACCATGCAACTCACCAAAACCTGTTTTATGTGTAGATGTAGATGTGACATGTTGTGAAGTTTATCATGGTGTTGCTGTTTCAAAGTGAAAACAAAGCACACCTGTCTTATACTTTACGTTTCTCGTCTGCAATTCTGACATAAAGAATCTCTGTTAAAGATGTGGGAAATGTACAGCTTATGGTTTCGTTAAAAAATGTAGGATGGAAAATGTTATGGGGAAAAAACCAACTCCAAAACCTGTGTTCATTATATTTTCAAGTGATTCATGTAAAATGGCTTTTTGCAAGTATCAAGCTTGAAAAGGGTTTTTACCTAAAAGGCTGTAAATTGTTTTTTGTAAGGTATGCTATGATGTACTGAAGTATCTACAACTGGGAATGTCAAGGACCGGGACAAGCTCAGATAATTGTGAATGCTAAGATTTACAGCACTGTTATCCTTTTGATATGAGGCTTATAGAAAGATGTTCAAATCGGGTTTGTCTCTTTGTATACACAAAAGAAAAGTAATTAACTGAGAACATGGATCCTGCAAGTGTAACAAAAGTTGAGAAGTCATTTCATTTCAAACCTTTATTTATCCAGGTGTATCCCATTGAGATCATTGATCTCTTTTTCAAGGGAGACCTGCTCAAGTGTGCTTTTGGGAACTTTCTTGGTGCCATAGAGTAGCCATTTGTTAAATTGCTGTTTAAACCAGTTTTGCGTTGACTTCCAACACGCAGATAGTTGATTGTACATTGAGGTTTATCATTCCAAAACCAACAACAGCTCTCAGGTGAGTATCAGTCAGACAGACAGAATCCAGGATTATTAAACCTTGCACAGCAGGCACGATTATAGGAGTGATTAACACATACTCATATTATCTTCATCCACTTCCCTTATTCCTTTTTTCTCAAAACTTTCTTTGACTTGAATTTTCTTCAAAATCTCTGTTTCCTCTTTTTCATCCCCTGCTCTATTATCCTCACCTGCCTCCCTCTCTTGGAAATAATCTCAATTCTACTTTTCTTTGTCCATCACCAACTGCTTCTGTCTTTAATGACCTTTTTGTTCATCCTTTATCCCCTAACACCCTTTTTCCAATCCAACATCTCACACTCTTTTTTCCCGCTCTTCTACGTTCCTGTTCCTCCTTTGTTCTCCACCAGGACCTTCACACTTCAGATGAGTCTGACTGTGACGATGACCTTGACCCAAAAACTGGCATGGAGGTATGAACACACAATATTCTTTGTTAAAGCTGCATGGCGTTACAAAACCAGAATAAAAAAACTATGCAAATCCTTATAAAGTCAAGCTTACACTAAAGTATTGTAATGTTTTCAGATATTGTGACAAAGACAGACTGTTTTTTAGATGTATTTTCTGCCTAAACATTACATTTGTCCTCATCTGTTTTCAGCTTCTCAACCCAAACTTCATCCAGGAAGGTAATGCATCCTTATGAGCTTCTGACAATGCAGTTTCTCTTTGTTTTTCGGTATTATAATAAACATTACAAGTAAGCCAAGCACCTAGAAAACGATTAAATAGCTTTTAACAAAGAGGCCCCTGCACACACCTCACCAATGCTGTTTTACTTCCTACAACATCGGTTTTTGGTAACTAGAGTTTGCCACAAAACCTAAATTGGGCTGGCAGCATGTCTGATTCATTGATCATGACACCAAAATCAGCCTGATTACACTCGTCTGAATCCCTAAGCTGAGCTGCTAACTGGGTCTAAGTCCCCATAACTCACCAAATCTAGCAAATGTATAAATCAAAGAATAACATTTATGCAATGAGTGGCAGAACGGAGCGCAGTATTGACTTTGTGCCAAAATGAGGGCCAACTTATCAGTTGTGCCTAAATACCACCACTGATTTAAATGGGACCTATCATGCAAAATGCACTTTTGTACGTCTTTTATACATGAATATGTGTCCCCGGTGTTCCAGGGAACTCACCAAGTGTCAGAAAACACAACCCTCTCTATTTTCCTCCATACCCAAATCTCTAAAAAAGGGGCTGCAACGGATCTGATAAAAACTGATCCAGATTTGAACACTGTCCTGACGTCAGGACAGTGGCGCTACGGCTATTGGGCCAACTCCACCAATCAGGAGGAGACAGCCACGGCCATTGCCGTTCGAAAGCGCTGGAGACGCTGTAGTACATATGCCAGGCCAGTAGGTGGTGCTGTTTCTCACTGAATCTGCCCTTGCAAAAACAGAGCTAGAAATTGTCAAATTGAGCAAAATGAGGCATGGCTAAAATGCATGATCTGTTTAAAAGTATAAATATGCCTTATATAGGTATGGTCCTACACTATATTATTCAAATATAGCATGATAGGTCCACTTTAAGGTTGGGGTAGGTTGTTTATTCTACAAAGAATATCAGACACTGTCTTGCTGTGGCATGATTTAATATAATGAAATCATGTTCTCAAACTAGAAGGCCACCCTGTGTTTGCCACACTATTACAGGCCAGGTGGCTCCTATCAAAAGTAGTCATATATATCACTTTTAAACTCCACCTTGAAATGTCATTATTTCTTTGTGTTTCCTGTGTGCAGTGGCTCCAGAGTTCCTCGTCCCTCTGTCAGACGTGGTGTGTGCGTTCGGGGAGACGGTGGTCCTCTGCTGTAAAGTGTGTGGACGACCCAAACCCTCGGTCACCCTGAAGGGTCCGGACCAGAACCCAGTGACCAGCAACAACCGCTTCACCATAGACATCAGGTATACCATTACTGCATGGGTTCATATGGTGCAGTTTCCTTTGTTAAATACCGAAACCTGCTTTATTTTATTTATCTTCTTCCACATCCTCCTATTTTATGTCTTCTCCGCCTCGTTTCATTCATTTATATTTTTATACTACTCCTACATTTACTTCTCCTGCTCCATCTTTTAATTTCTATTTTGTTCTTTCTCTTCTTTCTCCTCTCTATAGGGATACAGGTGACATCCTGTTGAAGATCTGTAACCTGATGCCTCAGGACACAGGGATCTACACCTGTGTTGCCGTTAACGACCACGGCTCTGCCTCGTCCTCCGCCTCCATCAAAGTGCAAGGTAATAAAGAAAAACTTGTAAGAACTAGACTTACCATATATATTTATATAATTTTTCTTTTGATATCTTAAGTATATTGGACTGTTGGAGGATGCTGAGACGCTGTAGCTATAATGACAATAAAGCCTTTTTAAACTTCCCGAAAACGTGAGGTCTTTTAAATCGAGGCTAAAAGCATTACTTTTGTTAGCTGCCCAGAAGTCTTTTAATTTGTTTTAGCACCTACTGTATTTACAATGTTAATTATCTATTGTGTTCCTTTCTTTTGTCTTCCTATTAAGTGTAAATGTTGATGTAAAGCACTTTGAATTGCCTCTGTGTCTGAAAATGTGCTATATAAATAAATGTACCTTACCTACCTTACCTTTGAATTGAATTTGAATTGAATCTGAAGGTGTAATGGTAGAGATTTTGGTTTCCTAACGTTTTTCAATGAAGAGTACTTTAACCTTCTGTAACCTTGATATTTTCAACAGCAGTTCCTTCAAAGCAGAGCCTCTGAAGTGTTTTTTTGACTGTGTATGTTTCTTCCTCTCTCCTGCAGGTATCCCAGCAGCCCCTGGGCGGCCGGTGGCTCAGGAGGCCAGCAGCACGGCGGTGATGATCCAATGGCCGCCTCCAGCTTCCTCTGCTCACTGCAGTGTGAGCAGCTACAATGTGGAGTACAGACAGGAAGGTGTGTGTCCCGTGGATGTGAATACCGTGTGGATGGTTGTTTTTGAAATATGCACATTGTTAGGAAAATATCACTCGTCACCGGCTTGAGCTTCAATATCAGGATACATGTATTTATTATCCTTGCAAGAATGGAAGTAGTCATCACATACAGAGCATACAGTAGGGGACAAATAGTTCCCAGAACAGTGTCCTTCACATGCTTTATATACAAGAGAGGGTGTTATTCAGTCACAATAATAATAATAATAAATTATATTTATATAGCGCCTTTCAAGGGACCCAAGGTCGCAAGATGCAGAATACCGGTTCAAAGCTGTATACAATGTTTAGTTTAGATTAGCTAAGACCCACGTAAGCAATAAACATGACAGTCATATGTCTATCTCCATAGAGAGTGAATCATCATGTTAATCACACAGCTGTCGTATGTCTAAAATAGTCCTGATGCTCTTCTAGGTAATCATACATCCTGTTACGTACACAGCTACGTAGGGCCTTTGTTATCATGTGCTACTCTGATATTAGAAGAGTACATTCAGTATTTTCCCAACACACATATAAAACTTTTACCTTTTCTCTCCCTTTCAGACTCGTTGCTATGGCAGCAGGTGGCCAGCAGCAAAGAGGAGTGTGTTCAGATCGACTCTCTGATCCCTGGAGGTCACTATCAGTTCAGAGTGCGAGCCTCCAACCGCTGGGGGGTCGGCCCCCCCTCCGAACCCTCCAACATGATCACACTGCCCAGCACCAGTAAGTCTGGCACACTCAATTTCATAATTCATTCATTTATGTCTTCATGTGTGCATATGTATAAATGTGTCTGTTGATTGTGATTGGTATATACATATTTGTATACATATTTTTATACATATTTGTATATATCTTTGTTATTGTATTCGAGATGGTGGGAAACGGTATCTCGTTCTCTTTGTCTGTGCACACAAACTGAAAGATTGACAATGAAGTTGACTTTGACTAATGTGGGAGCCAGACATATTGTCCTTCAGCAATTATGCCTTTCCCAGAGTTTATGATAGACAAGAGTCCGATTTCAATGCATTAAGGACTAGATTACCGTTTTCTTAACATTACTGACCACCACCCTGAAGGTATTAAGATTGGATATGAGTCTTGGCCCGGAAGACAATAAATATTTTAGGTAAAATCCTGCATTTTCTTTTTTTAAAGTCTCGTTAATTTCTGATAGCATTCATATCATGTGACCCATTGACTCCCAATCATACTAGATATATTATACTGCACTGGACAAATAAGACACAATTATTATTATTGAATGTTAGGGCTTTTTCAATTTTATACCAATGTTTTTGTGAACATTCAGCTATTTTTCTTACTGAAAATAATATATTTCTTCAATAGTTTCCATATCATGTGACCTTATGACTCCATATTATTGAAACATTTGATTGATCTTTGTCCAGACTCTGGGTATGATGGAACGGGGATCCAGTGGAAAGAAAACTTTGAGTCGACTTTCTCTGAAATCTGTGAGATCGGAAGGTAGAGTGATGCAAATATACTGACTTTCAGAATAATGTGATTAACAACCCAAGATTGATTTTGACCCCAGGTGTAGATAGATGTGTGAGATGAGTGACCTTTTAATTCAGCCTCTCTTGTTCTTGTTTGTTTCACCAGGGGACGATTTTCAGTGGTGAGAAAATGTCTCAACAAATCTACAAAGAAAGAGGTAAGTTACAATTAAAGTGTTGTAAAAACTGATGCTGTTGTAAAGTGCGTGCTCATAAGTGTTAACGTTTTTTGATTTGCGGTGATAGCCTGTTGTTTGGAAAATGTAATTTATTTTATTTTATATTATTTAGTTACATTCAAAAACTTTTTTATTATAAATAAGTTTGCCCATTTTATACTTTCAGTGAGTTTTTTTAAAATTATTTTCATGAATCAGGGTTCATTTTCAGTAGATGTTGAGACTGTATGTGATCCAAGTTTGGAGTTGTATTTTTTTATGTAATCATATGTAAGGTTTTGCATGTTTCCGTTTCCAGTGAATGTTATGGTTTTGTCTTGCAGTGTGTTGTAAAATGCTTTTTTTACTCTGTTCAGGTTGCGGTTAAATTTGTGAGTAAGAAGATGCAGAAGAAGGAGCAGGTGGCTCATGAGGCGGACGTCCTCCAACACGTGCAGCATCACCAGCTGGTGGCGCTGCTGGACACGTACGAGTCTCCAACCTCTCTGATGCTGACCATGGAGCTGTGAGTCTGACTGATTAAAAATAAACGTTATTATGACAAAATGAACTGTAATGTCTTAAGCCCTTGTCCCGTAAAAGGTCCCCTATTATACTGTCTTTCATCAATATATTATAGGTCTCAGATATATACAAAACATGTCTCTGAAGTGTTTGGCTTCAAATACCAAACAGATCATTGCAGCATCCCATAATCCCCTCTGTTTCAGCCCTGTTTCAAAAGTGCTGATTCTCTGTCTGTTACTTTAGATGAAAATAAGGAGCCACTCCCCACGCCCCTCTGAGAGATATTTGGTTAAAAATAACTCAATGGTGCTCTAGGAGGAGATTCAGGTGATAAGGTGTGGGGGGGTGTTACCTTGGTTGGTGATTGGCTAATGGTTACACAAGCCAAAAAAATCGTTATGACATCATAAAGTGGCCAAAATCTGATCAGCTCATTTTCAGACAGGTTGTTATATAAATGGATCAGGACAAAAAGAGAGAGAATCTTTTTTCCTGAAACTTTCAGAATCTCTTTACACAGAGGGGACACATGTTCATGTAGAAAAGACATGAAGAAGTGGATTTTGCACAATAGGTGACCTTTAACACTGGAGTCTTATAATCCTGTGTGTGTGTCAGGCTGGAGGACGGACGTTTGCTCGACTACCTGGTGGCCTGTGATGAGCTGATGGAGGAGAAGGTGGCGTTCTTCATCAGAGAGACACTCGAGGCCCTGCAGCACCTTCACACCTGCAGAGTGACACACCTGGATCTGAAGGTGAGAGTGTGTGCTACATCAATGAAGACTAACTTCACCTACCAATGGAGCAAGTTTCTTATTTGTTTTCATTTGTGCTTTGGTAATGTAATCGATTATCTGGTGGAGCTGTATGATACATTTGCATCAATAGTCAGTCTTGGCTGTAGCTGTAACTGTTGCCGGGGTCCTGCCTGACCCCATGTAGTGTTTTTTGGCGACACCTGGAAATGTTTGGCTCTATCTTATTCATATACATTTACTTTAACATTTTATCTTTTGGCTCTATGTTGTAATTGTATTGTCTTTTTTTATCTATACTCACGACACCTATTGCACAGCTGTACATCCTGTCAGAAACATTCCTCCTCTGTGGCTCTCCTTGAGGTTTCTTCCATTTTCTCTCTGTTTTTGTGGGGTTTATTTGGGAGTTTATCCTTGTCCACTGTGAGGGTCTAAGGAGAGAGGGTGTCAGATGATTGATTGATATGTAAAATTCAATTTGGGAACTTTTGGAGTTGCATCTTCCAACTTTTTGTAACTATTTATAAGAATCACATTTTATATTAACATAATCTGTATATGTTTCTCTCTCCTGCAGCCTGAGAACATCATGGTGGACCTCCACTCTCACACCCCGGGCATCAAACTCATCGACCTCGGTGATGCCGTCCAGCTGTCCGCTCACCGCCGGTACGTCCACCTCTTGCTCGGAAACCCAGAGTTCGCTGCACCTGAGCTCATCCGTGGGACTCCAGTCTCTGTCGCCACGGACATGTGGAGCGTGGGCGTGTTGGCCTACGTGATGCTCAGTGGGGTTTCCCCGTTTCTGGATGAATCACCGGAGGAAACCTGCGTGAACATCTGCCGCCTGGACTTCTGCTTCCCGGATGAATACTTCCGAGATGTGAGCCAGGCGGCGAGGGACTTTGTGTCCTCACTGCTGCAGCAGGATCCCAGGAAGAGGCCAAGCGCTACTTCCTGTCTGCAGCACCCTTGGGTGGGCCGCGGGGGGGCACACGGTGGGGAATACTCCAAGAAGCCCCTGGACACTACGCGGCTGGCCACATTTATTGACAGGAGAAAACAGCTGCATGACGTCCGGCCCATCACTAATATCAAAGGGCTGGTGAGCAGCAGCATGGGAAACACACTGTGACCACCGGGACCCCAACAATAACATTACCATATATTTTAAGCATTTCATTTTATCCTGTATTTATTAATGTGTGCGTGGGAAAGGGATTTGGTGCCTGGATTTGTCATGTAGGGCGAGATTGAATCCTCTTCCAAGGACCAGTCAGACCAAACTTATAATAAGAAGATTAAATCATTGAAATAAATGGCTCTATTAATAATAATTAATAATTATATTTATTTACTGACTAACACTAGATCACCTAGTTTCAACCATTACATAAGAAGCGGGTTCCAAAAACTGCCTAGAACACCCCAGAAACCCAAAGAAAAAACCTCAAAGTTGAGAAAATTAGCATTTAGAAAACACACTGTGAGCAAACATTATGGCAACATATTAGTTTATATTTGTAATATTTATTTTTACAGGGAGAGAGTGTATATTGGAGGCAAGCGGAGCCAGTTATGTTAGGAGATCATCTCATCTTGTATCTCTTTCACTTGGATCTGGAGAGAGGTGCAGGGATCACTCACCAACTGAAAAGTATTTACCACCCATGATCAGATCACATGCTTTGGCTAACATGACTGAGCATATTAAAAAGGCTTAGTGAGTTTATACAGTGACCAATGAGGTAATGCACTGTGAAAAACCTGCGAAAGATGCATTTGTTTTCATATAGTCTGATTTGAATGAGAAAAACTCACGAAAGAGAGTCTAAAGAAAACGTTTTAATGTTGGTTTAGTTGCTGTTTTAATCCTGGACCTCTATCAAGAAGCCTTTGACTGGATTACCAGAACCTGGGGATTAATTCACAAAATAACTCGTGAGACAAAATATAAGCCAATTGACCCGATAGCATGTATGTTCTGGTAACTGCGGCGTTGAATGCATAGTGATTTGTTAAATGCAAAGGTCATGCCCTATCTCGTAATTATAAAGAAACTAAAAAGTAATTTTTGTTTTTGCCCCATGGTTTTGCTATCTGAAATGTAATAGCTTTTACTCTTGTCTAACAAGCTTCATGAATATCGCGCTGACAAACAAAAAACAAGCTAAAAAAATAACCTCCATGTTGGTGAAGGTAACAATTACTTGCTTGTCCAAATGACTTGTGGGAAATTCCTTGTTTACGTAGAAAATAATCAACTAAAAAGTCTGAAAGGTAGAGAGCAAAAACAACTAGTCTCAAACAGGATATTTAATTCTCATTTGTGCGTTTGGTATGAAGTATAACAGATCATTTTTTAATGACAATATATAAAAACTGCAGCTGTGATTTAAACCCCCAACACGTAAAGCTTCTTGGACTGGATGCAACAGCGCTGAACCCTCGCTATGATATACTTTTTATTTATTGAATGTTTATTTATTTCAGAACTGAGGTTGATAGTGAAATCATATTTGGATATGTGACCTGGAGCAGTCTGTCTTCGCTAGGTGAAGAAATCAAACTGAACTGAACAGCTGCTGGACTATAGCAGCAGAGTTTACGTTGTTAATAGTGTCATAGTGAACCGCTGGATTTACATCAAATCACTGACTGATCCAAACTGAACTGAACCGTCATGGACTACACAAACTGGGTTCAAATGGGCAGTTGTAGCATCAGTACATTGAAGGTGAAAAAACTGAATCCAGAGGACGACTGGACCTTTTACAGGAGCACAGAGAAGGCACCATGGAGACTGAAACCCTTTCTATAGGACACTTATCATTCGTTGATATCACTGTTTACAATTGTCCAAAAAAATGCTTATGTAGTTTACAAAAAAGGTAGAATAATCAGGGATAACCTGCATGTAAATTCACCAGGTATGGTTTAGAAATCAGGTTTAGAAATCTGTCTTGTTTCTTAAACAAAAACCTGTGACATTTGGTGTTAAGGTGGGAAATGAACTCTGAAACGTATCTGTTTGTACATTTGTGGAGCAGCCACTGTGGAAAGTAACCAGCCATAGTGGTAGTAATTTGTCTTGTTAAATAGTTTATGTGGCTGCTAAATCTGGTCTTTAGACAGAAGAGTCCATTTACTGTCTTGTTTCTACTGATGAATGTATACAAATTGTAGAATGTGTTCTGCCATCACAAGTGCTGTCCTCTGCTTTCACCAACTGCTTTCACAACGCTCTTTTCCCTCCTAAGCATTTAGTGTACTACTATAGTAAGCGTTTATTTAAGCCAGGGATGCAGAATGGTGCAAATGTAAGCTCTTACAAAAACATCCGTGCAAATCTACAAATGTTTTTTTAATATAGCTGTAACAAGATCTGTTCAGGTACTAATGTTCTGCTGTTTTACAGTATCTCATTCATCTTCTTAGCAGGGATTTTAGATAGACATGTCGGCTTCCCACAGGGACAAAGCATAGTGTGCTATAAACAAAACACAGCATTATTTTTGAACATGTTTTATTCATCTCCTACTACTAAACAGAACAGCTTTGTGTTAAATGATTCAATAATAAATACAGAAGTAGTGCTTCAAGGCTGCGGCTAACTGTATCAACTAACAAGCTGATGTATAAATGCTGTTAACATTAGTGCTAAAACAGTCAGCATTAAAAACAATGGTTGTATTTCATATTGGTCTTTGGAGACTCAAAGTGTTCATTCAGTTTCTGAAACCTTTCTTATAAAGATGAGAAAAAAGTGGCATTATGAATGAAACAATCATCAGGTGAAATGTCTAAAGTATGTTAAACACAGATGCGTGCAAAACGAAACTGTTGATATTAAATAGTGAGCTCTGTTTTAGCAAAAGAAACAGGATTATACCACAATGTCATGGCTTTAGCACATTTTGTATTATTCATACAATAGATATTCTATAACTTATTACTGTTAAAGAATTGAACGCTTTGAGCCTCCATATAAAACCTCAACTGTTAGCAAAGAAACCTACAGTTGTTTCTCTTGAATGAAATACCCGGACTGCCTCGCTTGAAGCTTACAAAAGTGCTTCGGCCGCATGATTAAACAATAAGTGTTTATCAAATGTTGCTAAAAATGTAGGAGAATCCGGAATGCCTGAAGCAAATGTTTGTCATCTTTTTAAAGAAAAATAATAACTAAGATCAGATTGTGAAGACTAAAAGCAAAATTCAGTTACAGTTTGTGGTCCCTAGACATTTCCCCATGAGCTGTTTTTCTTTTACAGTAAACATTGATTTACTTTTTGTTTGCATTTCAACTGAAAAAGTAAAGTCTTTGCTCTGTCTTGTGGTATTTCAGCCTAGCACTCAGGGTCATCATGAGGTATAGTGTATAACCAAGCCTTCAAACACACATACTATTACCAGAATATTTAAGCTTTTCTCAGACTGTATTTCTGTCTTGTTAAAACTGTTAATAATAATAAGGTTCCTGTACAAATGAACACTCATCTGCAGCATACGGAGGGAGTTCAATAACCATCTGAAACATGTGGTGAAGTAATAGTGTACAGTATAAGTACTAGTCTTGTCTAAAGCAGTACATCTGGTTGACCTTGCTGCAGTGTAAACCTCGGTTTAACTCTCTGAAGAAGCTGATCTTTCGGTTGTTCAATATAAGAAATCTGTCAACGAGTCTAATCTAAGTCATGTTTCAGTAAGATAAGACAACACCGTTCTTCACATTTTGTGTTTTAGGTTAGGAAATACTTGATAAAGTTAAAACATTTTGAGTCCCGAGTCCTAAAGTGTAGACCTTTCCCAGAATTCAGACCTAAATCACCTGTGTTTTTAAGCAGTTGGATTTTAATGAATTCATGTAACCAGAATTAATGAACAAAAGTGGTTGCTAGAAGAAGAAGGAAACCACAGTGTATAACGCTGACAAGTACTGCAGTGTATTGGCATCAAAACATACAACAGTAAAAGTACAATGTCCTATATTCAGATACAGGTAGTATTGCATATTATATTATAAGATAAAAAAAATTGATGCATTAATGTGCATATTACTTTTCTGCCACAGCTGATAAAAGTGAAACTAATTGTAATAACTTTACAAATTGCTGGATGGCGTCCCTAGCGGAATGATGAACTTGTATCTATACATTTTGGGGGGGATTTAATTTGGTTTAAATCTACAATCAACTAACAACTGAAGCTATCACATGTCATGGAGGGAAATGTAAATGATGCCTTTAAAGAAGTATAAAGACAGAAGTTTTATGTTGAAGACTTGCAGATCATCTTCTACACAGAGTTAAACTTGAGGCTCTCCTGGTAGATTTAGTCCCACAATGCATCAGTCCTGACTGGGAGAGCTGTAGTGGCTCACCTGTTGAATGCCTTGCCTGTTCTGTATCCTGATGGTGTTCCTGCTGAGCTTCGTCCACAGAGAACATCACGCTGATGTCTTCATGTCGCTGTGTGCAGCTGCACGCTCCTGTACAGGCCAACTCTTCTTACTCCATTCAACCTGCTGGTTTGTTACTCTTTCTTTACTAATAAACAACCTGCTTGTTTCGATTTTTCCTCTCACTGTCTCTTTCTTTGTGAAGGGTGTTCTGTGTGTTTCCCCACTGGGTGGTGCTATAACATTTGGATACTTTTCAGAGGGTTCATTAGCACTGGGTGAAAGTAGCATATTCTTGAATCATCTGAATTGATTTATTGATTTATTCATTTTACTTCTTCAAAACAAACCATGTGAATTATACCAGATGATAGACAGATACATACAGATGAGTGTAGATGCTGAGGTTAATCTTTATGTACATTTTAACACGATTAATACATTCACATGCATTGAAAAATGTTAAGCTGCAATTAAGCCTTTAGTTTCAAAATGTTTAATGTTTAAAAAGACAGAAAAAGGTGAAAGCCCAGATTGACTTGAAGCTTTTGTATCAATATGTTCTACCTACTAGCCCAACAAATTGAAATACTTGAGTCTTGCATAACAATATTTTAGTTTTTGTTTTTCTATCTTGTAGTTTAGAAAATATCCCCGATCCTCCAGCACTTTTATTTTATTGTTTTGATAACCCTGTCACTGTCACACACACAGTCGTCTAACCCTGTCTCCCTCTCTCACACAAACTCACGGCTCAAAACAACATGCTGACCACAGCTACTTTATGCTGAAAGCTCAAAACACAATTGTGTGTGTGTGTGTGTGTGTGTGTGTGTGTGTGTGTGTGTGTGTGTGTGTGTGTGTGTGTGTGTGTGTGTGTGTGTGTGTGTGTGTGTGTGTGTGTGTGTGTGTGTGTGTGTGTGTGTGTGTGCAGTCCCCCTGAGTGTGACTGCTTTTAAAAACCATCACAGCAGGCACAAGTACAGCTCGAGTTAATTACATATTTGCCAGTAATCCTTGAACAAGAATGTGTGTATGTGAGTGACTTGTAGTTGTTCTGCTGCTGAATAAATCACAGTAAACTGGAGAGGAATGACATGGCAGACATCACTGTGAAGAGTGGAAGAGGAGGAAAAAGAGTTGTAAACGTGGAGGTGAGTTAATTACATGGATTTACGTTTTGCTATACATTTATTTATACTGAATTTATGTTTTAAACTATAGCCTACGAAAGAAGATTAGGGCCACGTGAAAAGCTGACCAAAGCAGATGTTTTGTTGACCTCTGAGAAATCAGAAAAAAGTCCGGATTAATAAAAAATAAAAAACGGAATTCTGAGAAAAGTCAATATTTTGAGGAAAAGTCTGAATTTTATAGAACTCTGACTTTTCTTTCTCAGAATTCCGACTTTAGTCTCAGATCACAAAAACATTTTCACATTTGGCCCTAATCATCTTCAGTAATAGCCAGTTTGTGAAATGACGTAAATTATGATATCTAAGAAAAATGATAAAACAACATGTTCTGACTTCTCTTTCTCTCCCTCCAGATGGATCCCTCCTCCTCTCCCTCCTCCTCATCTGCCTGGCAAGGCTTCAGGAGGAAGGTGAAGCTGCTGCTGCCCTATGTTTGGCCCAAAGGCACTGCGGCGCTTCAGGGACTCGTGCTGCTGTGTGTGTGCCTGCTGGTAGCGGAGCGTCTGGTCAATGTGCTCGTGCCGGTTTACTCCAAGAACATTGGTAAGCTAAAAACAGAGAAGCTGCAATAATGGAATAGGAGATCCAGATATTTCTTAGTAATGTAAATATGTATTTTACAACGTGTGTAAGGTAGTGACACAAACAGTGACACACTTCCCAGGAACAGAAGTCAAACTGGAAAATGTTCCTGTTTACTGCATTTTTCGAACTCTAGAGGGCAGTGTCATCGTGATTTTGAAGTGCTTTGTTCCATCATGACCTTGATTGATTATGTCCTTGTTTTCTTGAGTTAGGGTTAGGCTATGTAGTCTCATCCTAGTGTGTTTATGACCTCGATGTCATTTTATTAAAACAGCATTAGTTCGACCAGTCTTTAAATCATTCTTCTTTGGTCATCCAGACTTAATTTGGTTTTCAAGAATTACCTTTACTACATTTCTTGAAAATTAATAAGAATATTCATAGCCTTTTTGATTGTTCTTACAAAATATTTGTCCTGTGCACTACTGTAAGCATAAAGTGACAGTTTCAGCTAATTCTAAGCCTTTTAAAAAAAAGTTACTAACTACAGATGCAATTAACACACTTAAAACACACAGCTGAAGACACCCATATAACTGTAACAAGTGTTAATTATATCATTCACTTCAGACCTCTAATGGATACATTCGGTCATGTATGCAACATCATAATGCCCAAAAATATTTTGTGCTGATGTAAACAGTTCAGCTGCTGTGAAAGGAGATCTTATTGGTTTGAAGGAGAAAGGAACCTTCATTTCTGTAAGGGGGGGGTGTCATCATTTGCCAAAGTCTCTTTTGCCCTATTTTGTACACAGGACTGCATGCCTCCAGTACAAGGCAGCGACCCAGAAGCCTCCACTTCAGAGGAAGTCAGCATTCAGTTTGTCTTTAGCTACTTTACCCTTTAGAAAACTGGCCTTTTGGCTTTTGGAGCAACATGAAAGTAGAAGCCGGCGTTAAGAGAATGAAGCCGAGCGCTGCTTTGTGTGATGAGGAAGGCGTGGAGGAGCTTTCAGAGAGGGAGGGCTGGTGTGTGTGTGTGTGTGTGTGTGTGTGTGTGTGTGTGTGTGTGTGTGTGTGTGTGTGTGTGTGTGTGTGTGTGTGTGTGTGTGTGTGTGTGTGTGTGTGTGTGTGTGTGTGTGTGTGTGTGTGTGTGTGTGTGTGTGTGTGTGTGTGTGTGTGTGTGTGTGTGTGTGTGTGTGTGTGTGTGTGTGTGTGTGTGTGTGTGTGTGTGTGTGTGTGTGAGTGTGTGTGTGTGCGTGTGTGTGTGGAGGGTTTTCTGGGAGGTCACCCCTCCTGCCAGTCATGCTTAGCCGGCATTAGCGGCCTTTTTCGTGGAGTTAACTCACCGGTACAACGGACGTTTTGTCTCCGGGTCCGACCCCGCCTCCCACCCTCAGACTCCAGGACCTAATGCCAAAGAGTTGAAAATACCCCCCACTGAAAACACACACTAGAGAAGTAAAAGAATATTGAATACACACGTTTCTTTATTCATTTCTCTCCATCTTTTAAAAATCAAATGTTCTCCCTTTTCTCACCATGTCTGTCTCTCTGTCTGGATCTTCCTTTTCTTCTCATACTGCCCTCATCTGAGTGTGTTTTCTCTTTTTCATCCTGATTCCCAGCACTTGTACCAAATGGTAATGAATGTGAATGAGAATGTGTCTGTGGGGCAAAAAGGGGAGTGTGTGAATGTGTTCATGATTGTTTGTGTGTCAGTGGTGGGAAATGTGTTTTACATGAGTAAATGTGAAAGTGAAGCAATAGTTGTAAATCAAGTACCAAACAAAGTACTGAATTCAAATAAATGAGGGCAGCGATAAACAACAGAAAAACTATATCAAACATCCTCATATAAACACAACACTGCAGGATAATCCAAGTTGTGGTTACTATTTTTTAAATGAGTAATAGCAATAGTCAAGTGTTCGTTTAATGAGCAAAGTATAAATATGCACTGAAAGAAAGCATAATGCTGTTCAATTTTGAGAATCTAGTCTAGTGGATTATCATTAATGTCATCGGAAAAAAAATTAATGATGCAGCTGAAAATAAAAATGGTGTGTGTTTGTTTACAGTGAATGAGCTCTCTGCAGGAGGCGGCTGGACTTCGTTGGTTTTCACCGTCTGCATCTACACACTGCTCAAGTTCCTACAAGGAGGAGGGGCAGGTGTGTATTCATATGAGTACGAAATAAAATGTGTTTACATCTTACAGAAGCGTGAGGTTTTTTCCTCTCCCATCTCACTTTCTCTTGTAGGTACCTCTGGTTTCATCAGCAACCTCCGTCAGTTCCTGTGGATCAGAGTTCAGCAGTTTACCAGCAGAGGCGTTCAGGTACCACTCAGACTTCTTGTGTCATTGTTTCACTATAGCCAATTACTGATCAAATATGTACAGTGGACATGGTCTCAAATTAGGTCTCATGGTCAGAAATGGTTGCAAGTGTTGTTGGTATGTTATTTCCTATATATTATTATTTAAAATATATTGAAACATTTAACTTTAAACATATCCCCGGAAGAAGTGGTCACATAATTAGACGTGCAGAGCTGTCTGTCCATAACTGATTAAGTTAGGACTGGCACAGTGATCTCTGTTATGTATGGTTTAAGGAGATAAAAGTCAGAGACAGTGACGATACAGATGGTTTTGACTGGGATTTGAGGAGCCATAAAAATGACTCTGTTTAGGATTAAGTAGGGACAGAGAATGGTGCTTCAGACTAGATGGTGGCTGCAGCGTGGAAACACTTTCACTGTGACCGACATTGTATATTTCAGAATCAGAATACCTTTATTAGTCCCACAGAGGGGAATTGTACGTTGTTACAGCAGAAAAAGAGCCAAAGACAGCTTAATGTTACGAAGAAGCATGCATAAAAAAGTATTATGTAAAGACATGTAACAGGAAGTCTCTCTCTGCGCCCTCCCTCCACTCTTCAGGTGTGTTTGTTTTCCCAGCTGCACGGCTTGTCTCTGCGCTGGCACCTGGAGAGACGCACCGGAGACGTGCTGAGGAGCGTCGACAGAGGCACCTCCTCCGTCAACAACCTGCTGAGGTGAGACTGTTGGGGGGGGGGGGGGGGGGACATGTTGACTGGTCACAACATGGGACACAATGGTACAAAGGAACCACAACTCACACTTGTACAGTTTATCTATAATGATACTTTTTGGTTGTTTCTGTCTTTAGCTACATCCTGTTCAGTATCCTTCCCACCATCTGTGACATCATCATCGCCATCATCTACTTCGTCTCCTACTTCAGTGTCTGGTTTGGACTCATCGTTTTCACCTGCATGGTGCTCTACCTCAGTGGGTCAATGTGTGTGTGTGTGTGTGTGTGTGTGTGTGTGTGTGTGTGTGTGTGTGTGTGTGTGTGTGTGTGTGTGTGTGTGTGTGTGTGTGTGTGTGTGTGTGTGTGTGTGTGTGTGTTGTGTGTGTGT